CAAAGGTCACGCAGAAGATATCCCCTAAGGAAGGGGTGCCTTCTTCCCAGGCTTCCAGCTCGGGAAACACATGAGGCCGGTGGAAGTCTTAGCTGTTTCTACTCATGGTGAAGTGGGCCAGATACCCTCCCCACTTCATGAGATGGCCATCGCTAATGACTCCTTAGTCACCCTGCAGACTCATCTCGACCAAACTATGCTCTGTACGTTGGATGTGTCTGAGGCCTTAGAAGATTTAGAAAATGAGTGGTCAAGCAAGGACCGTCGCGAATCTTGGGTGGCACTAAGTAGAGGTCCTAGAGGGGAACATTTTGTCGTGGAAGTTGTTGTAGGAGGCCGCAAATGTGGTGCCTTCGTAGACATCGGCTCCACGTGGAATTACATAAGTCCCGACTGTTTGGAAAGGCTGCGCCTAGAGGACCGGGTACAACACCATAGTAGACCGGTAGCATCTACTTTGGCCAATAGGGAGCGCATGGTTGTCACAGACTATGTCAAGGATGTAGTTTGTACCTTCTCCTATGGAGGAAGGGAACTTAATCATAAGATTTTGTTCCTGGTTAGCGATGACTTACCATTCGATATGTTGTTAGGAATGTACTACCTTGAGGTTGCCAAGCCCCAGTTTGACTGGGACAAGAAGGTGCTCAAGCATAAGTTGCCTGATGGAAGGACAGTGAGGCTGGCCAAGTATAAGGCTAGTAGGTTATGAATCCTATGGCTGCTTGCGTGCATCAGCGTTCTACAATTACTATAAACAGAACCAAGAGGAGGGTATGTACCTAGTGTATGTCTCTGAGAAAGGGGAGGCCGTTAAAACACCCCAGAGATAGAACACGTCGTCGCTAAGTTCCCTGATCTGTTCAAGGAGCCCACAGGAGTCGTAGAAAGGGAGATTGTCGACGCCATAGAAATAATTTCAGGGAGTAAAACCCCAAAGGGAAGGATCTATAGGATGGCTCCGGCCGAGTTGGACGAACTCCGACGACAATTGAAAGAGCTAACAGAAAAGGGTTGGATACGGCCGAGTACTTCCCGCTTCGGATCTCCAGTGTTGTTTGTATCGAAGAAGGGGGGATCGTTGAGGATGTGCATTGATTACAGAGGCCTCAATGCCATCACAGTGAAGAACGCAGAGCCTCTACCTCACATAGACGACCTTTTGGACAGGGTGCAGGGATGTAAGTACTACAGCAAGATAGACTTAAAGTCCGGCTACCATCAGATTGCCATAAAACCTGAGGATCAGCACAAAACTGCATTTCAGACCAGATACGGTCTGTACGCGTTTGTGGTGATGCCCTTTGGCCTTTGCAATGCGTCGGGTACATTCCAGCACGCTATGAATAGGATCTTCCATGACTACTTAGATAAGTCTGTCGTCGTGTACCTTGACGATATTCTTATCTTTAGTAAGTCTGTCGAGGAGCATGCACAACACTTAGAAACTGTACTCTCACTCCTGCGACAACACAAGTATAAGGTCAACCTAGAGAAATGTGAGTTTGGATGCACTAGGATCTTGTACTTAGGTCATGACGTATCCGCGGAAGGGATTAGGCCGGAAGATGCGAAGGTGGCTAGTATTAGGGACTGGCCACGACCTCAGACTGTTACTGAGGTCAGATCTTTCCTAGGGATGTGCGGCTACTATAGGAACTTCATGAAAAACTATTCCACGGTCGCCTTTCCTTTGACTGATCTAACTCGACTTGATACACCATGGGACCGGAGTGATGAGTGCGAGGCTGCTTTCAAATGATTGAAGCATGCACTCATGAATCATGAGGTTCTCATGGTGCCCGATCCTCAGAAGCCATTCATTGTGACCACTGACGCAAGCCAATACGACATTGGCGCAGTGCTGGCTCAATAGGATGGGAAGAAGTTGAGACCGATTGAGTACATGAGCAAGAAAATGCAATCAAAGAAACTGGCAAAGTCCACCTACGAAAGGGAACTCTATGCTCTCTACAAGGCACTTGTCCATTGGAGGCACTTCTATTGGGACGGTTTTTCTATTTGAGAACTGACCATCAGACCCTTAAATGGATCAAGACTCAAGCTGCTCTTTCTGATGCAATCAAGCGCTGGATTGAGGTCATAGATCAGTATGACTTCAAATTGGAGTATCCGAAGGGAGAGTACAACAAGGTTGCAGATGCCTTGTCACGTAGGGCAGACTACCTAGGGGCGCTAGTTTCCGGATTCGGCATATCTGAGGAAGTAACTCAATCGCTGGTGGGAGCCTATCAGGAAGACCCTGTTTAAAGGCCATAGATACGCAAGCTGCAGGCAAAAGATAAGGCCACAGAAGATGAGTTTGTGATGGTGGACGGGCTACTCTTTCTTGAAAAGGCCGGGTTTAAAAGATTAGTTATTCCGTCTAGTGAGAATTTGCGCAGTTTGTTTTTAGGAGAATGTCATGATGCAACGGGACATTTTGGTTACAAAATGACCAGTGCAAACCTGGTACAACGATTTTTGTGGCCTGGAATGCTTGATGATGCAAAGAGGTATGTGCAGACCTGTCAGGTCTGTCAGCGGGACAAGCCCAGAACTCAAGCACCGCTTGGGTTGCTGAAGCCGTTGCCCATCCCCGCTGGCCCAGGACAGAGTGTGGCCATGGACTTCATGAATACCCTGGTGACCAGCAGAAGTGGCAAAAGGCACATCTTTGTCATCGTAGACCGGTTCACCAAGTACGCTAGACTGATCGCAATGCCAGAAACTGCGAGGACTGAGCACGTCATCAAGTTGTTTATGGACAACTGGGTGCGTGATTTTGGGTTACCGAAGACTATCGTTAGTGATAGGGATGTCCGCTTTACAAGTGAGTTGTGGAAGAAGACTGCAGAGCAATTAGGCAGTCAACTTCAGATGACTTCCAGGAATCATCCCGAAGCCAACGGACAGGCCGAACAGATGAACATAGTTGTACATCATCTGCTTACATCAAGCCCAGCCAAGATGACTGGGATGAGAAATTGCCAGCAAAAGTCGTGAGTCAATGTCCAAGCCCAATAGGGCAACACCAACAACATAACCTGAAGTAGCTCTCTCTCTGGAATGGCGCCAGGCGCCCTATCTACTCTACAGCCTATACCTACAACTACAGCATGGAAGCAACCAGACAGCTTGACGACCATTGAGTGATGACGTCAACACCAATGCCGACCTCCTCTCCACCAGGTACGTCTCTCTCTCTTCCCTCACTCTCCCTTGTTATCCCACACAGCGCCCTTCACCTTCCGAAGAACCACCTTCGCCCTCACCTCCCTCAACGCTACTCAGCAGCCCGGCTATGGCTGCCAGCGCCCTGCGCCCTACTGCTTAGCGCCAGCCTGCCTTCACTCAGCCTAGCGCAGCGCAGCACCTGCACTCGCAATGCAGCAGCGTGCCGACTTTGCTTGCAATGGCCAAGATCCTCGCCCCCTCGCCCGCTCTGCCTATATGCCAGTATTGCGTGTGGGCGGCCTCCCTTGAGCCTGCGCCTGGGCCCCAGTACCTGTATGCAGGCCCAATGCGGTTGGGGCCCACGTAATACAGTTGCGCCTCTTTCATCAAGGCCTGCGTCCGGATTCAGATAGTGGACCGGTTTCCATTGGCATTTTCGGCCTTTATGTCCATGCGCCCAGGGCCTAACCAATTATGGGGCCCTGGTCCTGCATTTGCAAAGATCTAGTACTCGGTGCACTCCAACCAACTGGCGTGCGGCAACTGTATGGACCCCACTTCGTGAAATGTTGAGTAAAAGGGGCTCTTGTTGATTTGCTGGCCCGCCTTCACTTAGGGCGGGCACGAGGCTTGCTGGGGGCCTTAGCCCATAACATGTACATCACGGCAAGGCCCCTTTGAGGGCTCAATCCTCACATTCCATCCCCCTTAGCTTCGAAAGTCCGCTGAGATGCTTACTTCGCAGGTGCTTTCCCCTTTAGCTGTTTTTCATATTCAGCGACCACTTGAGGAGCTGTTTCAACCAGTTCCTCTTTGGTGAACCACCGATCTTCTTTTGGATCTGTGTGAAATCTGACTCTATATTCTCTTCTTGGTTTAGGAGGTCTTCCTCGGCCCAGAGGTCTTGGAACAGGCATGTCTCTGTGTTCCAGAATGTCGTCGATGTCCACGTGGCCATCCATGGTTGGGGGCAGTATTGATATCCGTGAAGGAAATTGATTTGTCTCAGCGAAAGGTGCAAGCTTTGAGGCGTGAAAAACTGGGTAAGTGCGCAGGTGACCAGGGATACGGATAACATAGGAAGGGCCATCCAAATCATCCCCAACTATGTCTAAAACTTCCCAAGGACCGAAGTACTGTGGCATTAGTTTTCTAGAGATGCCGAATTTTTGTCCTAGCTCACTAGCCTTCACCCAGACACGTTCCCCTACCTGAAATGTGGACTGTCGACGGTGTTTGTTCTCAGAGGCAATCATCGCTTCCTGAGACTTCTTGATGTGCTCGATAGCTTGCTGCAGCAGTTTCTCATACTGCACCCCATATTCTATTGAACCAGGGGTTGCAGCAGGTCGGTTTTCAGGCGGGAGGAAGTCCAGAGCTGATCTAGGCTTCCATCCCAAGTGCAGTTGATTAGGACTGACGTCGGTACTGTTGTGCACAGCGTTGTTGTACAGGCTGGCGATGAAATGGATGGTATCTTGGTTCCAATGTGCTATCTGCTCTTGCTTTGACTACTCGGACTTCAGTGTGATTTTGCAATTGGTATCTCTGTGCTTCGTCCACATTCATGTTCCTTGCACAAAAATAGGACAGCAAATAAATAAATAAGTAAATAAATGCTGCGTCAAATCAAAACCTGCGGCCCTAAGGCCTGTCATGGGCCTCCAGGGCGCACGTCTGACGGGCGTACGACCTGGGGGCCCCCAGCAACCGTCGGGCCCCCAAAACGGGGCCCGTGTGCAGGCTCAGCATGTAACCCCCCGCCCTCCTTATGAAGTCAGGCCGGGTCGAGGGCGAAGTTGACGATCCGATGGTGGAACCTGGACGTGAGTACGGCGTGGAGCCCAAGGTGCTGGCTTGCCTTGTTGTTTGCGTTCGTAACGTGTGAAAACATTGGGGGTTGTAGCCTGAAGTTCCAAAAGGGTCAACCAACGGTCAGCCTTATGGCTACAATAAGAGAAATGTACTAAGTACTCTGTCCGCTTGGTGCCATAGCGCCACTGCGAAATGATGTCGCTAACCTCATGAAACCTGTCCATGGAGGGTGGGTCTTGCGATCGTCGCCCCGGAAAGTCGTCTCATTCCACTGAAACGAAAGAGCCAGCTTTGAACAATGAAAAACCGGGTAGATGGGCAAGTGGGCCGGCACCTGAATGGCAAATGATATGGCCCTTCAGGTGCATCACCACCGGGGGCTACAATGCGTCAAGGCCCCATTCATGTCGGAAGGAGCTTGCCCAAGATATCTTGTTCGAGGCTGAATTCCGCGGTGGAGACCCAAACGAGGTTGTCGGCGGGAACGGAGAAGGAAGACGCTGACAATTGGTTTGACGTCTCATGCGTTGTTGCGTCTTCAACATCTGGTCGCGTTGCTTGACAAGGAGCTCTTGCATCCGTCGAATGAAAACAAGGTGGTCGTCGCTCTCGGTCGTCCGTGGGATGATCGTGTCCAACGGTGATGTGACCGGCGCGCCATGCTCGAACTCAAAGGGCGACATTCCGATAGCCGGATGAATGGACGAGTTATAAGCCAACTCGATGTCAAACAGCCGCTCAACCCAATCCTTTTGGTCGGGACGGATGAGAGTGCGAAGAAAAACCTGTGCGGTTTCATGCGCCCTCTCCATTTGGCCATCGGTTTGTGGGTGGCGAGCCGAACTCGGCTTGAAAGATAAGCCCCATTGTTTGATGAGCGCCAACCGAAAGTCGAACATGAACCGAGTGTCATGGTCGCTAACGATTTCCTTAGGGTAACCCTTGGTATAAATCCAACCGGCGTAGAGAACCTCGGCCAACCCTGGTGCCTTGGCGTGATAGCGACAAGGCAAAAACATTGCAAACTTGGTGAGTCGATCGAGCACCGTGAGAATCCCATCCACACTGGTTTTGTGCTTGGGGAACGGCCCGGTGATGTCCATGGCAATCAATTCCCTCGTCCTAAGGGGACCGGTAATGGTCGCAACTCGCCGAAAGGACGATGATTGCGGGATTTGCAACGTCGGCAAACCTCGCATGACTTGCAATAGCATGTGACGTCGCCGAGAAGGACAGGCCACCAAAAGCGCTCGCGAAGTCGGCCAATCGCACGATTGACTCCAAAGTGTCCAGTTGTGGGAGCGTTGTCGAACTCGCCAAGGAGCTGCGTACGCAAGTGTGGGTCACTTGGCACGCAAAGAACATCCTTCCCCTGCGAGTGGACTATCAAATAGTTGTCTTGGATCTGATAATGCGATGGCGCTGGATTTGGAGAGGAGCAATTCGCGTACTTGTAGAGAAACTGAGGGCCAACTTGGTAGCCACAGATGAAGCTGTCCCGCAAGTCGTCGTCAACCTCGAACGTCGAGTAGACTGCAGTACAAAGGTCCGGATGTCGTGAAAGGGCGTCCGCAAAACGGTTTGACTTTCTCGGAATGTGATCGGGAAAGAAGTCGAACTGGTTAATGAAAGTCATCCAACGGCCCAACGGGCGATGGTACCATTCATCGTGTCTTGGGTCTTGTAGAAGACCAATGGATTATTCTCTATTACCCATCGGAATGGACTTCGACCGAGAAGAAAATGTCGCCACCGCTTAAGCGCATGTGCGAAGGCCAATAACTCATTTTTCCATGCGTCGTCAATCGAATGCACGACGGGCACTTTCTTGCTAAAGTACTCGACCGGGTGCCATCGTATTGCTCGAGGACGGCACCAATGCCATAGTCGGACGCATCGGTAGTGACGTGCGTCGGTAAGAGCGGGTCGTAGATGTGTAAAACCTCCGATGATAGCAAGGCAACTTTGAGGGCTGAAAAGGAAGCCCGCGCATCGTCGCCGAAGTCGAACGGTTGATCCTCGCATTGAAGCTTGGTCAAATAAGCCGCGATCTTCGAATAGCCTTTAATAAAGTGTTGATATTAGCTGCGTAGGCCAAGAAACGAACGGACATCCGTGACGTCCTTTGGCTCCAGCCACTCTGGACGGTTTGAATCTTGTCTGATAACGGACTAATGCCCTCAGGTGTGACAAAATGGCCCTAGTATTCCAACTCTTGATGTACAAACTCGCACTTGTTGCAGTTGGCTTTGTACTTGGCACGATAGAGCGTCTCCAATACACGTCGAAGGTGCTCGAGATGATCCTCCAACGTCCGCCTGTAGACGAGAATGTCGTCCAAGTAGACAAGCACAAACCGGTCCAGCATCAGGCGAAACTGGTTGGTCATTGCCGCTTGAAAGGTCGTTGGGGCATTGGTGAGGCCAAAAGGCATGACAATCCACTCAAAGTGCCCGTACCATATCTTAAACGTGGATTTGTAGCGATCTTGCGGGCGTATCGAAATCTGATGATAGCCCGACTTCAAGCCCAACTTGGAAAAATACTTTGCGCCGCCCAAACGCTCAAGAAGATCGTCAATACAAGGAAGAGGACCCACATTCTTGACGGTTTGCGCATTGAGCTTGCAATAGTTGATGCACAAGCGAAGATCCTTGTTCTTCTTCTATACGAAGAGAACCGGCGCACCATATGGTGAGCTACTAGGGAGGATCCAGCCCTTGTCCAACAAGTCATCGAGTTGCGCGTGGAAAACCGCGAGCTCTTCCTCGCTCATGCGATAGATGCATCATTTCGGCGGTATGGCACCGACATCAAGAATGATCTCATGGGAGATCGACCGATCCGGCACCACACCGGTATGAGACTCGAAGACGTCGGCGAACTCGTCAAGCAACCGCACCACGCAGGTGTCCGAAGACAAGTCCGTAGGTGAAGACCCGACTTCTATGACGGTCCTAAGAAAACGTAGGCTGATCCCGTCGGTCCGCTCGTAAGCACAAGTGACCCGAAAAGACTTGGCCGTCATAACTTGGCACGGGATCGAAGGGTGCGGAAGAGGAATGGTACACGGCACCTCGGCGCCAAAGGCGTCATGAAAGATAAGCGTCTGTCGATGGAAGTTGACCGTGTGGTCCGCACTTGCGAGCCAAAACATCCCCAAAACAATGTCGGATTTCGTGTCCAAGACATCAAACGTAACAGGCTCACATGCATGAGGTGCGAAATAGACCGGCACGGCTTCATTGTAGTAATCAAGAAGTTGTTGCGTTCGACCGTCCGCCATCTCGACCGTCGTAGGATGTGACTTCCTTCGAACTTGTGCGCCAAGGCCGACCCTTTGTATAAAGGACTGGCTTATGAAATTGCTAGTCGCGCCGCTATCCAGCAAAGCGCTGCAGAACGCTTGCCCAACTTGGATGCACACATAAAGGAGCGGTGCGTTGTTGTCATCGTACCGCTCCGTGCGAAACTCACGGGCCACCTTGGTAATGTATGCAAGGATTTCCCCCACCGCGACTTCGTCATCCGTTGTTGAAGTCAGTGGTGCATAGAAGTACAAATAAGTGTGCAAATGGGCGCATAGTGCTGCGCATTGTGGTCACAGTGAGCGGTCCGTGGAAGAAAGAGGAAGCCATGCAAAATCCTTGGGCGACAACGGGTCCAAGACCTCTACGTTGAACTCGCATGCGGAATCCCTTAAAGAACCACTTGAAGACAATAAACTGTCGCCGCTACCAGACGGAGAAGAAACCACGCACACCTTATCCTTGAGCGAGAGAACCCAGTGACGGAACGAGCCGGGCAGCGAAGTCCTCAAAAGAATACAAAATAGGACTTACGAGTTCCGCATGTGCCTTGGAACTAAGGGAGGTCGCTTGTGAAGCAACTGGTTGCGAAGGCGTCGAGAGTGCAACCGTTTCACTCTCGGTGGTGCTCACTTTCCCGAAAGAACCTTTTCCTTGGCCTTCGTGGGACAGCCAACGGTTTCGTGTGCGTCGCTGTTGCACAACAAGCAATAATGGTGTCTCGTTCGAATCTTGTAGACGCCTTCCGAGAGACTGTAATGTAGCCCAGGGTCTTGAGCTGCTGTTCCGGACCCGGGGACTGAAGAGGTGTGTGTCTTCGATTTGCGGCGTCCTCGCCCTTTGGTGGGGCGGCCACCATCCCGGGCGGCTGCTAATCTTTCTCCCTCGTCGGATAGAGCAGCCTCGTTCGAAGAGTCGCTCGACATTGTTGCCGCGACCACGGCCACTTTAGGCTGACGCTGATCTCTGCCCAGGCCTGTAGAGGACGAACGGCCAGCATTGTGAGTTTCCGTATTCGTCACTATAATCGGCGAGGCCTTGTTAAATAGTTGCTCAATTGTGGTAAGCGCCTCCGCTACTTGCGTCAATGCATTCTGCAATTCCGAGCACATACTCGTGATGAAGTAGTGCTTGATGCCCATAAAGGTGATCGGCAAGTCCGGCGTGGATGCCAAGTGTTGGTACTTGGTGATCCAATCCGTGCTTGGCAAGGCGTTTTGATGGAACTTCTGCAACTTCTCCATTACCTAAAGCTCGGGTGGTTCCACGTGGAACCACATGTGCCATGCTGCCTTGAGATCAGCCTAAGTGATCTTTGTGTGCAGCTCGGAGACAATGACCTTGTGGGTGGACAGCATGTTGTCAAGCCAAGCTTCACACACGCCCCCCGACCGATGATATAAATAGGCATGTCGGTTGGGGTCGCTGGCTTTGTACAAGTCCAAACGCACGTCAAATTGGCGCCACCATGGAATAGGCCCGGTCTTCGCTACATCGCAGAGGTTTACGGCACCCAGCTCTGCTTCTCCTCGTCTTACCATCCTCAGACTGATGGTCAAACCGAGGTCACAAACAGGACTCTCAGAGATATTCTCCGAAAGATTGTTCGTGACGAACAGCAGTGGGATCTCCATCTTGCCCACGCGGAGATAGCCTACAACCACGCCGTCTTGCAAACCACGGGGATGTCGACCTCGGCTATCACCCTCATGTTCCCGCGGACTTCCTTCAACCGTCACAGCTGCACCCCGGCACGAGTTGTCCCGTGCTGGATGATTAGGTTGCACACATGACATCGATCATGAAGACCGCACACGAGCACATAGCCGCTTCCCAGACTCGCATGACTGCACGTGCGAACTGATCGAGGATGGATCATCCATTCAAAGTCGGTGATGATGTGCTTATCGACGCCCGCCACTTACAGCTCGAAGCGGATACGCTTCGCAAGTTTCAGCGCCGCTTCTTTGGCCCCATGCCGCATTCTCCAGGTCGTCGGTTCTCATACGGCTTCTAGCCCGGTCAGCTTCCGTGCTGCCCGACTACCTACGCCAGACTCGTGTACACGATGCCTACCACGTCTCGTTACTGCGTCCCTACCACAGACCGTCTTAGCGTTTCGCTGGACGACCATACGAGCGCCCTCCACCCATCATGGTGGACGGCCACGAGGAGTTCCTCGTTTCAAACATCATTGGTCGCCGAGTCACCGACGACAACCCTCCCCACGTCGAGTATCTCGTACGTTGGAAGGGTAACCCTGATGAGGAGGCTACCTGGGAGCCCCTCGAGCACTTGCAGCACGCTCGCATGTTGGTGCGTGTCTATGACCGTGCTCATCGTGCTGGGTCGACTGCTCCCCCTCAGCCCACTGACCCTCCTCCTTCTCCCCCGGTTGAGGAGACCGCTGAAGTCAAGCCTGCTACATCTGAGGCAGACCTTCAGCAGCAGCCGGATGCTTCTGAGCGTCCACATCGCACTCGTCGTCGTCCTGCTCGATACGACGATTGACTTTGACTTACCTTCCCACGTCTTTGACTTTTCATTACTCCATCCACATCAGTTTTGCTACTTCAGCTCGTCGACGCTGCGGCTCTTCCTCGACGGCATTCCGGACTTCTCATCATGGGCGTCATCGGCAGCTTCATGGACTTCGTCACGATCAGCTCTGCCTACTTCAGACGTCGTCACTCTCTTACCACTTTACCCTATACAGTACCCTTGTTGTGTCGCATGATGGTCTCCGTTTAGCCGGGTCCCTCTGAGTTGGGCTCTCCCTTGGTATACGCATAGGCATTGGGACCGTAGTGTTGCCCTGGCTTCCCAGCTTACGGATCTAGCTCCGACTTCCCTCACTTTAGGAGTCATTTGCATGATTCCCTTACCCATCACCTTTCTACCCTCTGCCGACCCTCACGCCCTAGTTAGGCAGCCTTGCATGCTTCATCTAGGTGCGCCCAGTATCTAGGCGATCCATCACAGGCCGAGGATCCTGTAGCGGACCTCTGGTTGGCTT